ATTTCTTACATTCTTTGCACACTTAAACTACATAAAAAAGTTTATCTGTGTGCTGCACATTCCTCTTAAAAAAATACTTATCTATTAATTATACCTTAGAAAAAAATATCTTATAATTAGGTATCATAAATAAATACATAATGCAAACACCGAGCGCGCATAGGCTCGGTAGTTTAGGAGGTACCCATCGGTCAGCCTATTCTAAAAACCGGTCACCAGGACCACCTACCCCGCCCGCATACGGTGCCCCGCGCACGGGCTGCTACCGTTTGCCTCATATTGTACTAATAATTCAATGAATACAAAGAAATGAAAATGAATAACTTTTTATCGGTGAGCAACGAGAAAATTATTTCTAAACTTATTCGAAAATAATATTTACACAATAAAAAAAGTTCAATCAAATCCATTCAGTAGTTTATGAGATTAGCGGTTGACTTATCTTAAAAATGTATAGATTTTGCTCTTTATCCTTTTTCCCGTAGGAAAGAGCGATTTCCCCGCAGTCTCTCTCTTTTCGTGTGGGACACCGAGTCGTTCAACGACCCGATGAACCCTGGTGTCAGAGTCAGAGTCAGTAAAAGTGGTTAAGATGTTGACCAGGTTCAGTAGCTGACTCATTCTCGCATTTGGTCCGGATTTGGGCGCTTTTCAGAAAAAAAAAATTAATTTATGTCTTTAATTTTGTTTTGAATACTATGTTTTGAATCGCAGTCATGTACGAGATGATTATTAATTAAGTTATGTAAAGGATGGTAATGAAGCCATGGATGGAAATGAAAACTGTAAGGATGGGAATGATATTTATTAGACGGTAATGAAATATTGCATATTACTAAAGATGAATGTAATTTTAATATTTAATTCTTAGAAAGGAAGTGAAAGACTAGATACATTATTCGTATTAAATTCTATAAATAAAATTTAACCTTGAAGATAGCAATGAAATTCGGTCGGTGACATAATTCAATAATTATTTATTTGTACCACTTATAATCAATCAGTATTATTAAAATATATAGAAAAATGTCTTTAGAACAAAACTGCTTCAGTCAACCAGAGACGATGCATTATGCCAAGGAGACAACGCAGCCAGCCAGAGACGACACAGCTAGCCAAGGAGACAACGCAGCCAACCAGAGACGACGCAGCCAGCCAAGGTGACAGCGCAGTCAACCGGAGTCGACGCAGTCAGCCAAGGAGACAACGCAGCCAACCAGGAACGACGCAGTCAGCTAAGGAGACTGCGCAGTCAACCAGAGACGACGCAGTCTGCCAAGGAAACAGCGCAGTCAACCAGAGACGCCGCCGTCAGTCAAGGAGACAACGCAGCCAACCTGAGACGACGCAGCCAGCCAAGGAGACAACACAGCCAACCAGAGAATTGACGCAGCCAACCAGAAAGACTACGCGGGCAGCTAAAGAGACGTCGCAGCCAGCCCGGTGGACAATGCAGCCAACCAGAGACGACGCAGCGAACCAGTGAAGACGCAGCCATGCTCCGATCGCAATGGGGGGTCGCTCTGGTGAACAAGTGTCAGGGAAAGACCAACGGAGCGACGAAAAAGTGAAAGCCGAGGAGGTGGAGAAGGCGAGCATCGTCTACACCCCCTCATGATGTGAAAGCACCGGGCTAGCCACGTCACGAGCCACGCACGGGTCCGTTGTATGTGGTCGGCCTTTATGCAATTAATTTCATGAATATGAAAGTTGTTAAATTTTCGTGCCGAAACACACACATACTTACAATGTTTCATTACAAAAGATCATTTCCGTTTATAACACGTCTTTACCTTTCGAGGTAATTTTGGACGGAACGGATGGAAATGAATTGTATGGAAATGAAGTTTTGACAGTTATCGTTCAATTACTCGTGATTGTTAAGTTTTTGAAGGCAATGATGCAAATTGGATAAAAACACAATGGAGTACTCCTGTTTTATGTATAAAACTAAACTAAGTGTAGCAATCTCCGTAAGTTGATTACGAGATGGTAATTAGCTCTTACCTGTTTCAAAACGGTAATTTGATTGAGAGAATCCGAATATCTTTTTAAAGAACGCACGTACAGACTCACCTTCAGTAAGATATTCCGGCCGTCTGAATTGGAAGAGGCGCGAGGGGAGTAAACTGTCTTAGCAGGGATATATTTTGGAAAAACCTTATTTCCGGACGGAAATGAAGGATTTCGTTTGACAAAAATTAAACTTTGATTCTCTCTAGGTTTGTTTTTGAACTACATAATTACATATCATGCGTTACCTGCCTTCACTAGTAATCAGAAAATATGAAAATATTCTTAAGTTTGTCGCATTAATGACATGATATGATTATTTCAATGGTAGATAAAGGAAATGTCACACGGATGGAAATGAGATTTTGACTAGTTAGTACTCAATAACTAAGAAATTTAAAAACTTAAACCAAATATCGAACCTGCCGCCTTTATACATATATTTTTATTGAAGACCTTTTTGCATATAAATTACTTAGGACTTAATTGATTTCTACCACTTTTATGCTTCCACACGAAATCCGGACCATACGCGAGAATCACTCAGCTACGCAATACAAAAAGTTTCATTTAAACCCGTCCAGTAGTTTCGGAGATTAGCGGTAACAAACAGACAAACCGACATTTTTGAAAATTACTGAAATGTGTTCTAATGCTATTTATACATCACCCCCAATTAGTTTTTCTTACCTAATTTTATTCAATGTACAGACACACGGGTTTTACTGTTCTATTATATTATTATGTATAGATAGATGATAGCTTAGATTATTATTAGGTGTCGCTATAGATGTAAGCCCGGTTTAATACCAATTCAACCAAATCGTTTTAAACGAAAAAAACCGTTTTAAATCATAAACAACCGTTTTTTTCGGTTTAAAACGGCGGATGGTTGATAACAATGTTTTATTGATTTTAATACATTTTCGTAATATTACAAAGGTAAGGATCACTGAAATGGATTAATGATGTGATTTTGCGGGTTTATTACCTAGTTTGTCGCTCCGAGGCCCGAGCGTAGGTAACCTATGATGAGCAAGTCAGTGTAAAATCGTTGGAAACACCGAATTTTGTATATACAGGGTTATATTAATAATTTGGATGTTCCATACAAAAATTCATACCTAAGTACCTACTCGGCAAAAATTTTTTTGCATTTCGGCACGATTTTTCTACAACGGCCCTGAAATATTAGTCAGACGTGGCGATAGCGGCTGTATTGTAGGTACCTACGGCTGTTTACGCTCTGCCTACCCCGCAAGGGATAAAGGCGTGATTTGTGTATGTATGTATGTGTATATAAAACACAGAACTTTTTTTTTTTGTAGGCGAGTTTTAAACGGTTGAAAACGGTTGATTTCAGGTTTTAAACCGCGAAATTTGGTTTTAAACGTTTTAAACCGGTTGATTTACATCTGTAGGTGTCGCTGTGAGCGGCAGCGACACCTATAAATAATCTAAGGATGATAGGTTCTAGCGACACCTATAATTAATCTAAGGATGATAGGTTCTGTTTTGAATTGAAAGAAAGCATGTTTATCAAATACAAAAAAATATTTTTATGAAGTACTAATAGGACCTTTCATATAAGATTTCAATATAAAGGCACAATCAAATCATACATATCGTAGCTCTTCAACGGCCTGGTCAGGTACATGGAAACCCCAAGCTTGGCCCATCGGTTGCCCCACGGCTTGTGAATCGTCGCTGGCACATGTTTTAAATTTCCCAATGTATTTGAACGGTTTTCGGTTAGGTTTTTAATAGGTCTCTTTACAGTTGGTAAATGGCCGGTCGAAAGTGGAATATGGGTTCTTCTTATTGCTGCGTTTGTGGTTCTTCGTCCGACTACATTTAAGATACCAGCCACGCCCGCATCCTTTTTGTGAAACACCGATTTTGCTCCTTCTAGTTTTTCCACGAAAGTTTCTTCGATTTTCTTGTTACGAGCTCCTAAAGCGCTTTCGAACAAATAAACTACGCACAACAATTTGATATTCATTTCAAACATAATAAAATAGAAAATAAAGCAAACGTACATGTAACCCAAGAAAGTTTTAGGAAATATTGCAAGAAATAGGTAGGTGTAATAAAAGGTACTGATTTCAATAGCCAAAATCTGTCAAAATCAAAAACAACAATCACAGAGTATCTGGAGCTAGAGAAAACTTTCAAAAAAGTATACAATAAAAACAAAGATTATACACCCAAAAAAGGTAAGTCGGACAGGGGCCGGGGAAGTCGCGCTCTCTACCATAGCTTGCTGTTAGGGTCGGATTATAGTCACGCGGCTCGGCCGCAGCGACCAGGCTGCTTTTTGCGAGTTTACAAGGAAATGTATGCAACGAATTATACTGCGCGCGGTGCGGCCGCATTTTCCTAGCGTCTTGGTCGCGCTTCGTTTGCGCGCGACCGTCAGTAGCATAGTTGCACCGGGACTGACTCAGTTGCCAGGTCATCCAAAACGTTAAAAAAAGCTCGTCCAAAACATCACGGGGCAAATTTTTGCACCTATGAAAACAATAAACATGTAATTTACACATGATTTATGAGAATGACTTATTAGAGATTTTTTTTAGAGCGACTTGGCAACTGAACTGAGCCAGTCCCCGTGCAACTATACTAAAATACTGCCGTCGCCGTGGGAGTTTGTTCCATTATGAAAATAAAATTTGGACCGCTGATCTAAAATTTGGACCGCTGATCTGCAATTTTGTATGGGAGGTCCAATTTTTTTTTACCTATTTCGACCCATGGGGAAAGTTGTTCAGTTTCATTGACAGAACACACCCGATGATGATCGATGCACCGTCGATGAATGGCAAATTTTCTATCTCTTGATGCTCGTCTTGAAGCGACGATCCAGCGACATCTATAGTAAGTATTTAGAACTTACTACATGGTTAGTCCACATTATGAGTGGAATTCAAACCATATGATGAAGCTTGCTTAATCCATCTATTGGGATTTTAATGCACTCACAGAGTGCATCTATAGCTCAGTGGCAGAGCGGTGGGGCGTTTACCCATGCGGCCCGGGTTCGATTCCCGGTCGATGTATGACATTTTTTCTATTTCTTATTTTCACTTATATACGTCTCGATGATAAAGGTAATAAAAAAGGAAACGGACAAGAATAGGTAATGAGTTTTATTACACCATTCTTTCGACATTGGACTATCGAATGGCACAACACTAGCAGATGTAGGTATGGCTACGTCTGTGGGCACCTTGGTTAGAAAAATAAGTTTTCCTAAAATCGGGTTTGGCTGGTAACTTTACAGGCAAAATAGGCCCGCCCGCATTTGTCTACTACACACATGTTGTAGGTAAAAGTCCTCATCCCCCGTGGTACAGCATATGTACCAGTGATTTTGAATCTTACTACCCTCAACTTAAAGTTCAAAACCTATGAAAAAACAGAACAATAGCTGGTATTTAAGGGGTTAATAACCGCTGGTGGTTGAACAAGTAGACGTGTTCAAAAACAAAAAACCTGACTGCGGTAATTTTGAAGTAGTATTTTGCTGAAAAATTCGCCATCTTGAATCTATATTTTTTTATATAACCAGTGTCACTCGCGCTGCTGGCTGAGACGAATCTAACGACACCTCATATGTCAAAATCCAACTATCCGTTTGGGCTGTAGCCCGTGAAAGAGAATTTTCTTGTCCACAAACATAATCCCCCTTCTGAGGCAGTCGGGTAAAAAGTGCGTCACTTATGGTGAGGCCCAAATTTTTATTTTCATATTTCGAAGAAAAGTTTTTAACAAAAGTTGTTCAGTTTTGTGAGTAGATCGCACTCTTAAGAGATTTGTACTTAATTATATGTAACCTTATATAACCAGCCTAAGTTGGAGTTCAAGTTACGAAGGGCGCGTAGTATTTAAGTGCGACCAGCGTGACCCAGCCATGACACCATGATTTGAATGAACTGTAGGTAATTCAGGAGCTTTGCGTGTGGTATGTTGGTAAAACAAGTAAAACACATTATTTTTTAACAATATTCTATAATTATGGCACTTTAAAAAATCATCTTAACTTCAAGCTGACATGACGTGATATTATCTCGTTATAGAAATTACTTTATAAAGCCTACTTCTCACTTTTGTATACTTACAATGTACGTGAAAGGTATTGATAGGTAAATTATCGTAAGTGGTAAGTTAATAATTAATATACGTAAACTAACTTTAAAATTAAAATCTTATAATAATTGCCCACTTTACGACACAAAATATACCTGGAGTAACAGAAATGGTATAACATGCCGAAAGGAGGTCAAGGTATTCATGAAACTGAACAACTTTCCCCATGGAACATAAGTCGTAATATGAAAACAAATTTGGACCTCTCATACAAAATCTCCAATCAACTGATTGATTTACGATGGGAGGTCCAATTATTTTTTCTTATTTCGACCCATGTTCCATGCGGAAAGTTGTTCAGTTTCATGAGTATCTTGACCTCCTTTCTGCTTGTTATACTCTTTCTGTTACTACCGATATACACAACTTTTTACTCGTCAATTAATTAACTGAATATTATGTAATTAGATCTACATAAATTACTTTAAATTGTTAAAATAAGAATTGATTTACACAGTGTTGCCAAAAAGTTTAAAATTATTTTCTTCAGCCTTTACAAATTAATTATTATTATTCATTTGGTTTTTGTAACTGTAATAATTAATTAATGAATAAATTAAAATGCAATAACTAATAGTGGGTCAATTACATAATGAACACTGTTTTATATTAAGATTAATATATTCCAAGACTAAGATGTAACATTTTATTTCTAATTACATATTGTGAAGTTTTTGGAAGAAAATTTTTGTTTTCATATTATAACACGTTCCCAAACAATTAGGTATATGAATTATGAATGACTGTTTCATTTGACAATGGTTACAAAAAAGTTAAAAAGATTAAAAATATTTTTACAAAGTTTTAAAATAATATTTTAGTAAACCTAGTATTCACGAGAAAGGTCTGATACATGTCCACATGTGCCCGTATTGCTGAATGGGTACACAAAAACTAGCCACGTAAAAAAAAACAATATTCGATACAAAACATTTACGATGGTACAGTCAATATCGAATACAATGGACCCCTTTTATAGGAAGTTAGGTTAATTTAAACGTAATTTCTTTCTGTACAATTTACAGTAGTTTAATATCCATGTGCTAGTTTTAGAGACCATAAAAACATATTCCTATGCGACATCATTCTAAAAATATTGGACATTGTGTACTTTTTTGTCCTATCTTTTACCATGCCAGTATGTAAACATAATTATAAATAATTCTGCAAATAATAAAACTTGATTCACTACATAAACAACTGTTTTAGTTACTAAAACTGTTTTGTTTACAGTATTGTCAATCCACGCCCAATATTTTTGCCTTTAATGCCGAATAACAATATGCTCAGCAAAATTCTAAAGATGGTAAATTAATTTTATTTTTCCCTTTAACAATAACTACCACCAACATTTTGTGTAGAGAAGCGTTACATACGGTGAAACTATTTTGAATAAATGCTGCAGGTAGTTTATTGCTGATTATGAGAAAAACAAAACTAATTTACCACCAAATCAGTTTATGTCGAAACGGTCAATGGCATAAGCTCGGTGTTATATAAAGTGCAAAACTCGTTCTTAAATTAAATTAATAATTTCGGGTTAGTCCATTAGAACGATCGAAAAATGTTTGAAAAAATGCGTGCTTCACATTTTTCAAATTTTCTTCGATACTTACATGCTTTTTAAATAAAATATTAATTAACCTAATTAGCATACCTAATCTAAAAGTATGTTGTGATCTAAACGAATTTAAGGAAAATTGCATACAATTCTCAGGTAAAATATGTAATATTATTCTACTGAAGAAAAAATAACAACTGTTCTTCGAAAGGATCTACGAAAATGTAAAAAGAAAATATCTAATTAAAACAATGATTAAAGTTTTCTTGAAATTTAGGTTATTTTTAAACTAATAAAAAAACAGGGAGGTTTTGTTGTATAAAAAAACAACCCTTTCTGCCAAACATAATATATGAATGTCAATGAAGAACGTGACCATTTGAAACTGAACGTAATTACTGTTGGGATGAGATGTACCGAGGCACTGCGTCAGTAATATTTATTTCGTTGCATTCTGTATGTATTTTCTATATACCTAAATATTAACATAATCGTGTACTTAACATAATTATTGTGAAGATATGTTTCAGAATGTCTAATTGACTATGATTTATTTATTAGGTCTTATTTTCGTAAAAGCAGAATACGATCGCCTACGGGGTACCAACCAGGGATGAAGGGGACACAGATCAAGTCTGGGTTTTATGGTTTAGACTTTTGACCGTCCTTATGACTTACATTGGTGGTTCTAGTGTCTAACCGGACGTGCTTAACGTTCTGACTCTGATTGCAAGAGGTCATGTTCTACTATAGTGCGTTTCATCTTATAGTTCCTCTGGCGTCATGTTGGTAGCATTGGAAAGCCGCATATAATATTATGGCCGCCGATGGGCCACCGTATAATATTTACGTTATGTTGTTAGCATTGTAAATATATACGGCGGCCATCAACCGCAAAATATGAGTGAATGGTGCCCGTACCTCCTTTCGGACCATTTTGACGTTAGGTATTTCAAATGCCTTTACGAAAACAAAACATACAATTCGTAAGAAGATTTTGGCCTACACACCTGTACACACCATTAATTATCCTTTTTTAACTAACAGATATTTTTTGAAATTGTCATCTCGTCAACCATAATATTTATATGATTTGGTTTAATCGCAATATTATTACGGCAAATATTCCTCATATACCCTAATCTCTTGTTAGTTAGATTGGAGTGTGTCTACTTCTTACTATTGTATGAATTTAATTATGTTCTGTTTGATATAATCATCTTCGATACACAACACTCGTCCAAAAAGACAAAAATGTGGAGGCCAGTTAGAAATAATCTTCAAACGCTGTTATGTAGGTAATTAATAATATTAAAACTCTATGTTTTTGTATGAATAATAAAATGTGTGATATGCGATTAAGAACGTGACGTGTGGGAAGAATTTTGAATATTTGTAAACTTGTGCTGAAATATAGCCGTTTTTCATCTACTAGTTTTCTTTATTGTATTTGTACATACCATGTAATAACAATAACGTTCCCTTGTAATTGGACATTCAAATGCCAAAGATAAGCTTGGGCCTATCATAATTTTGCGTCACATAATCAAGTTTTTATTGATCAAATATTGATCGAACCTGCTAATAAGCCTTGCAAAAACATAAATTTTCGTCATATAAATAAGAATGTTGTTTCATTTATTATATTAGCAATCACTTTGTTACCTACCACACTTTGTTACAATCACTTTTTTACCTAGATAATCTAGAAAACAAAGCTATATTTCAGCACTACATTATATTCTTAGAAAAATTATTAACTATAAATATGTTTAGAACAAGCAAAAATTACTTAGGGCTTAGGTTAGGTTATCTAAATATAGATTTTAAGTTAGCTGTAGATAACTTTTAAGCTATTAATAGGTGTATTTATGTCAAGGCGTAAAAAACAGAGCAAACACTTATCTATAAATGAACACAGCTAACTCAAAATTTGTAATCGATATAAAATAAAGCTGTAGTAACATATTACATATTGCACACAATTGTTGACATGATATTAAATTGTACAATATTATGAATGAATAAGAATAAATTATCTCTTCTCTCGTCCTTAATAACATAACGTTGGAAGGTTAAACCTAGGCGAACCTACCTGAATCAGATCAAGGATGTTTAAAAGAAAGGCCAGGTCAAAAGTACCATATATCGACGAGCGTGAATGAAAAGGTTGATCAATGTCGAGGAAGCGAAATACGTGTGTCATAATCGAAGTAAGTGGAAGGACGTAGTATTTGCCTACCCCTCCGGGAAAAAGGCGTAATTTTATGTATGTTGATATAATAGTTCTTAATAATATAAAACTTTCTTTCTTTTATGTTTTACTACAACTTTATTTCTTTGGCGCCA